GCAGTGCCGTCTGAACAGAACTTCATAATATAGCTTGCTGAAGGAGAGTGGGGATGGGAGACTGAGGAAAGGCGGCAGAAAAGATAGCTGGGGCAGTAGAAGAAGAAGGAGGCTGAGCGAGAGACAGTGGAGGCAAGGGGAATGACACGAAGGCATAAAGTAGGTGTTTTGCACCCTACAGGCTAGGGCGTTCTGCTAATTATCAGCACAGGTCTACTGATAGAAATTTATTACAGAAATCTATGCTGAGATACCCCCTAACCATAATATTAAATGCACATTTATTACAAAATATAACTCCTCTGGTGAGATATTCCACATGCGCCAACACACTAACGTAGCCAGATTGTGTACTGACTGGTATATAAAGCGTGGACCTTACATGCATGGTCTTCTTGCTAGTTCTCAAGCGAGGTTTACTGATCAAATGCTATCATACAAATCTATGCTAGGATAACTCCTCTTTATTATAAACGCATAATCTTTGCAAAATATTAATTTTCTCGGGAGATATTGGGCATGCGCGAACACCGCTTCAGGCGTGCATGTTTTAAAGTAGCACTTTGCACCCTACAGGCTAGGGCGCTCTCCTAATTATAAACACAGGTTTACTGATAAAAATTTACTGCCGAAATCTATGCTGAGATACCCCCTAACTATTTTAAATGCATATTCATCACAAAATATAACTCCTCTGGTGAGATATTGCGCATGCGTTAACACACTAACGTAGCCAGATTGTGTACTGACTGGTATACGCAGCCGGGACCTTACATGCACGGTCTTATTCCTAGTTCTCAAGTGAGGTTTACTGATAAAATGTTATCATATAAATCTATGCTAGGATAACTCCTGTTCATTTTAAATTCATAATCTTTGCAAAATACGATTTCTCTCGGGAGATATTGCGCATGCGCGCGCACAGTGTTAGACGTGTAGTGTCGTCTGAAGACAACTTCATAATATAGCTTGCTGAGGGAGAAAGGGGATGAGAGACTAAAGAAAGGCGGCAGGGAAGATAGCTGGGGGCGTTAGAAGAAGAAGGAGGTTAAACGAGGGACAGGGAAGGCAAGGGGAAGGACACGAGGGCATAAAGTAGGTGTTTTGCACCCTACAGGCTAGGGCGTTCTGCTAATTATCAGCACAGGTCTACTGATAGAGACTTATTAGGGAAATCTATGCTGAGATACCCCTAACCATATTAAATGCATATTTATTACAAAATATAAGTCCTCTGGTGAGATATTGCAGATGCGCCAACACACTGACGTTGCCAGATTGTGTACTGACTGGTATATGCAGCGTGGACCTTACATACACAGTCTTCTTCCTATTTTTCAAGTAAGGTTTACTGATCAAATGTTACTATAGAAATCTATGCTAGGCTCTTATTCATTATAAACGCATAATCTTTGCAAAATATTATTTTTCTCGGGAGATATTGGGCATACGCGAGCACCGCTTCAGGCGTGCATGTTTAAAGTAGCACTTTGCACCCTACAGGTTAGGGCGCTCTCCTAATTATAAACGCAGGTCTACTGATAAAAATTTACTACAGAAATCTATGCTGAGATACCCCCTAACCATTTTAAATGCATATTCATCACAAAATATAACTCCTCTGGTGAGATATTGCGCATGCGCTAACACACTAACGTAGCCAGATTGTGTACTGACTGGTATATGCAGCGTGCACCTTGCATGCAAGTTCCTCTTCTTATTTCTTAAGGGAAGTCTACTGATAGAATTTTATCTAAATCTATGCTAGAATACCCCCTCTTCTATTTAAATGCATAATTTTAGCAAAATATTA